AATAAATAAATAAATAAATAAATAAATATTATGGATTTTTGTGAAGTGTCTAGTGGGCTTTTTTTCCTGATAGAGAATCATAAACCTTTTCTGTGCTTTCAATTGGAAAGAAGGGAGGGGAAGGGGTATTTAAAGTAACATTATTTTAAAAAAAGGTGCCCTTTACCTATAGAGAGTCTCTATTGCATACATGGCTGATGCTGGAAGTGTTTGTGGTTTAATGGAAATAAATTAATAAGAATCAGCCCTCACACTAAAGAAATTGGATCACACCCATAGTTATTCTTATGTTTTAAATTTTTTTCATTTGTTTACTTTTGTGCATTTTGATGAGGCACTTCAGTTCCAGTGCCTTCATTTTCATATTCACATAGTGGGGTCCATAATATGCTTTCATAACCCTGCTGAGAGGATCAATGAGGTCCATGTACATGAAGGGGTTTAATAAATAGTAGGTGATTTGAGCTTTGTGGATGAAAGGTGCTACGTGAGTACAAAGTAGAGCAGCCTCCCACAGGTAATGCCTTTGCCTGGATAACTCTGATTATAGGCTTTCTTTATCTCTTCAAAGCAGAGATTTTCCTCCTTGATTCCTTCCTGTATCTTCATTGCTGAAGCTAAGATGCCTGTTTACTCAGTACCATTTCCTTTTGAGCATGCAAACACCAATCAAGGAACACACTTACAAGAAGATTTGTTTACTTAAGTCCACACATGGTCAATCACATAAATGCAAATATCAAAAAGGAACAGTGTGAAAGGAAGTGCACAGCAGCCCCCAGATGGCCCTCAGAAACTCTGCCGTCTCAGGTGGAACCAAATTTTAGAATACGTATTTTAAAATAAAGAGAATATTCCAGAAAATTGAATAAAATATTTGTTAGAATTATTTAAATTTGACTTTGTTATATTCCCCTCTTCTGTACAGCTATAGATAAAAAGCAGTAGGAAATAATTTTTCACAGCATTTTAAACCATCTTTACATTTAGAAAAAAATAATTTGTCCATCACAACAACTTCATGTGTCCGGAAAGGTCTGTGTGCTCAAAAAGGCTGTGTACTTTGTCAAAAAATACCCCACTAAGTGACAATATATAGTTTAGAACAAACATTCAGTATTTCTTTTCACATTTTCAGGGATGGCATATTTCATTTCTGATCAGTGTGATGGGCAGTGATAGTGAACCTTTTAGAGCTTTCAATGATGACAAACATTCTGCTGCAGCACGTGTGCCATCGGTTTGCCACCACTGGAGTAGCGGCTATCTACAGTGGTGTGCTCATGTTTTTTAGACTCTGCTCTGTATCTGAGGAGAGTGGTACAGGAATTGATTAGTGATGTGAGTGGGTAGAGACAGGGCCATGAGGAATATATTTGCCAACTCAGAAATGTACCATATTGTGTGTATTTTTTTTTGAATAATGAGTTTGCCTCTGTATTCAAATAAAATAGGGAATCTCTGAACAATTTGTACCAGGGGTATGGATTAGGCCTGCTAGTTAACCATGTTTTGCAAAGCATAACTTCTTGATCTTGGAGAATTTAATGGAACTTCTCCTTTATCTGAATTTCTGAGTTTGAAATGCAGCAGATGATCGTGAGCATGGTACGAGTATACATTTCCTTGACCGTTCTCTCCATCTCCTTTATCTATTTACTTATCAAAAATACTTATTATCACAAAAACTTCCACTTGTCTTTTAAAAATTCACACAGTACTTGAATTCAGTGAAATCTGTTTAGGAAAGTTCAAGCATGAGTATGGAGTCAGAATGTAGAGGCAGTAACAAACTTTAAATAGTCATTGGTAAAATGGAGGAGAAACAAGGACTACAATATGAGTAGAAGTAATCTAGCAGGAATTTTATTAGGAATCAGGTAAATGACAGTCTGTAGTTGGTATTAGTAAGTATAGTATTGCTGAGTAAGTTATTTTGGGAAAGCATTAATATTATGATAAATAATTTAGCCCTATCAACCCTGGGAAGTATCTTATCTTAAAAGACACATCAGAAGACACGTCTTTTGGCTTTTAAGAAAATGATGTAAGATTTATACAGGTAAAGTTATTTCTGAAGCTGACTGTACTTGGATGCATGACCATATTGATATTTTCTCATCAGTTTACAGACAGTTGGCCTACTTTAGTGATGAGTCATTTAGTTCCACTTTCAATCTTGGCATTGAAAAATATATAGATATCTCCAGGGCAGAAAATAAAGATATTTCTCTTGCTTCTAAATTAGATTGAGACTAAATGATCTGTTAATTTGTTACTTTTACCAGAAGGTTTTTTACAATGACATTTTTATAAAAATTGCTCTAATATATTTTTATAGGTAGGAAGGACCACTTTAAAGTACAGTAAAGATGGCTGGGGATTTAGCTCAGTGGTTCTGCCGCCTGCCTCACAAGCACAAGGTCCCAAGTTTGATCCCTGGTACCAAGAAAAAAAAAAAAAGTGCAGTGAAGATTAGAATCTATAACTCCCAAATTTGTATCTTCAGCCCAAACACCTTGAGTTTCAGAGCAAATAACCTAGCACAAAAGAAAATACAGAATTTAGCAACAAATAAGAGATGTGACCCTGGAAGTGGCTTCTCTGACCCTCCTGTCACCAACATCACCATGTTCTATGATTTTACTTCTTAAATAATTCTAAAGGCTGCCCATTTCAGTCTGGTTTCATACTTCATAACCGTAGGTCTAACTTTAGGAGAAGCTACCAATCTCTCCCTGGATTTCTAATGGCGTCCCAACTAACATTGCTACATTTATCTTTGCCCCACTCTACTGTCTGTTTTCCAGAATGATCTTTTCAAATTAAGCTGGTGCAATATTTTTGATACAAAACTGGAGCGAATATCTTCATTTTTATAAACAAATTGATTCTGCTGTAGGACTTGGCTGCTTAGGTATTGGAAAAAAATTTAGAGAGTATATTGGATTTAGAGCAAGGAAGCTGGAGTCAGATTGACTGAGCTCAACTCCTGAATTTACATGCTATGTGTTGTGAAGCAAATTACGTATCTTTTACAGCCTTGTCCTTTTTCCTTATGTGTATGATGGGAATAACAATAGTCTTTAACTTACAGACGTTTTTGCTAATCAAATGAGATTATCCCAATAAGTTTTTTAGTGTAGTGCTGGGCATGATGTAGTGGAAACCATTCTCGGGGTTCCTTGGGTCAATCTCACTGCCTGCCTCCAACCGCCATAGCCTCTGTGCTTGGTCACACCCACAGGAAGTCTCACTGAGGTGCTCCAGCTTGTGATTCATATTGTTTGCCTTCTATATGCTTTTACATTGAACAGCTGACCCCTGAAACCATGTTCAAAATGAACCAAATCCCACTCCTAACCTCTTCTTTCTAGTCTGGGTTATGCCTGCTCCTCCAAAACAGGGCATCTACCTCTTTGTGGCAAGACTTTTCCTTCTCTTCTCTCTCTGAAACAAACCAGTCTAATACCACACAATAGATCTGTTGTGGGGAGACTGGAGTTAGGAGGACAGGAGAGGACATAAAAGGCACGAGGTAGGCAAAGAGATGGAAATAAAATAACTACTTAAATCTTGGCCTCTCTTTTTTATATAAGGATGGGGAAAAAAGAAGCTGTTTTGTTTTTGTTCTTATTAACTTCTCTTGTTATTCCACACTCAAACTCCTTTGTACTTACTTGATCTAGCATCCTTTAATGCTGAGTTACATCCAGGTATATGGGTCGTGTATTGTACCCATGCTCTTCCCTTCTTTCTCTGCCTGGTTCATTTCTCCTAGTACTTCAGAGCTCAGATCCAACTATTCAGGAAAGCCTGCTCTAATGCACCATGCAATGACAAGTCCACCTGTTGCATACTTTATATTTCTCTATGTTTCTCTACCCATCATAGTTTGTAGTGACATTTTTAATCATACATGAGATCTGCCCTCTACCAGACTGAAACCTCTAGGAGAGTAGGGATTATATATATATATATATATATATATATATATATATATATGGACAGAAATTTTTGGAATCAACAGAGTGTTTAGCATACAATAATTTATTAAATATTTTTGGCTAATTAAATGGATAATTTTAAATAAGCAGTGAGATTCAAACTGACTTTTAAAATGTATTTTGATGTTTAAGATTTGTAAACCTGCAAAGAACAGCAAACATGTAGTAATCTATTCTTAATTATGTTATTGCTGAAGAACAATTTTATGTTTCAATTTTCCTGTTGCCTTCATTGACCAAGCATAGGAATTAGTTATTACTGCTTTCTGTTGTCTGCATTGATTATTGCAAACTACTGGCATTTAGAATTAATCTTTTGATAAAATGTTATAAGGTTACATATTGATGCATAAGTGCATGAACATGAGGATGTGTGCGCATGCGTGCGCGCGCACGCACGCACACACACAGACACACACACACACACACAGACAACGATAGATAAGGACTTTTTTTGTTAGAATGATATTAACTGTAGATTCTCCAAAACTTCTTTTTCTATAACTTCAAGCAATGGTGGGGGCATCCATTTATAGGTGGCCTTTGTGAGCTTCAAGTTAAAATTTCAGAAATATTCAAATGCTCCCTTTAAACTCACAGTTCTCCATTGTGATTTAAAAATTTGCATTATCATTTTAAAGGATTAATTTTACTTGGCAGTCCTTCAAAGATTCTGCTCTTAAAATCACTTTGGGAATTAACAAATACATTTGGTTTCTAAATCTGCTCAGTTTGGCACCTTCAGCTCTAAAGCTCTGAGCTTGCTTCCTTCTCCTTGTTGCTATCCCAGTTAACTCAGAGCAAGGAATAAGTCTCCAGTAGACTTACAAGAAGGCTATTCAGAGGTCTTTTCTCTTCTGAGGGACAATGACGCTTGACTATTTTGCTGGAAATGTTATCAATTAACAATTAATAAAATGTTGACCAGAGTAATACTAATATTCAGAGTACTGGCAAGTCAGTTGCACTTCTGCTAATAAAGGTAGAGTATACCTGGAAATCTTATTGGAGACTAAATGCATCTGTTCATTGTGCTGTTAACCTGCTTTTTCCAGTCTGCTCCATTCACTGGCATTAGCATAATCCATACCATGATGTCCTAGTAATATGTTCATCTTCTTTTCCAGGAACACTAAGAAGAAAGTAGCAATAATTATATTGAAGTGATGCTGTAGATAATTACCATCTCTCTTGGTCTTTTGAATATTTAGAAGATTTTTTGCCCTCTTATAGGTTGTCAAATTTTAATGTCAGAAACATGATGTGCAAGTGCTATTTTTAAAAAACATTGATCTCATTGTCTTAATTGCAGAATTAACAAAGAAACATTATAGAATAGCAAAAAAGAGGTAAAATAAAAATTTCATCATATTATTCCATCATATCTAGTACCTTTTCGATGTGAACCCTTATAAGTTTTATTTTCACATGCATTTTTAAGTAATTGTAATCATATGTTTGTAAATTCAGTTTCCTTTGACATTCTTTCAGAAATACATTCATAGTAAAACATAAAAGTTTAAAAAAATAATTATTATATTATCTAGCTAATGGATATGACATAATTTGCCCAAACATGCCCTATTATTGCATATTTGGGCTATTGAAACTCAAGATATTAAATATCATTGTCATGAATAGTTTTGTGGAAAGACATCTGATTTTATTTTCTTAAAAGAAATTCACAAAGTGGTATTACTGCTTGAATTTTGAAGGGTTGAGATTAATAACATTCTTCTACTTGAAGTGCTATGTGGTCTCAGAAGGAAAGGACCGCTGTGAGCTTACATGATAATTCTGTAAGAGCTTTATTCAGTTGGACAGTTTTAAATGCCCTTTCAAGCATCTTTGCTATTTTCCCTTCTTGGAACCAGATGAAATATCTTCATCTGTGGAAATATCAACAGCAGCAGAGCAATAACTACGTCCTCAGTGCTTATGTCAATGTACAGGACCCATCATTTATGTTACTATACATAATGACTACAGTCCTGTGAAGTAGATATTATTATTATACCTACTTTACTAATCGAATAAAGAAGGTTCAAGATTGTTAGGTGACTCCCCTAAGGTTACACAGGTAAATAAATGATAGAATTGGGACACAAAATCTAGTCTGGAGATGCCTTCACAGCTGCATTATAAGGCCTCTCTGAAACTGTGGACATAGTTTTCCATAATGTTGGTGAGAAATACCAAAACTCTGTGCTCTGCACATTTTAATTGCCACTTTCACTGTTTGCTAAGGTTAGTAAGTGCTATTTCATCAGGCAAGGACTTTGTAGATATAGTAATCACTTTAGGGAGATATACTGGATACAATTAAAGAATAGACCATATATTTCTGGGTGTCTGGGTGACTAGACTGAAAAATTCATGACCAAAAAACCATATCTTTTGTACATTATCACTTTTAAGTCTGCTATTTATAGAGAGGACATTTATTCCACGTTGAGTGGATCCTTAATTCCAAATGCTAACTGATTCCCTCATAAATTTTTACTCACCCAAAACAATTGTCAAGACTCTGCTTGACAAGTGCACCTGGAAGTTACTCAGAGTTCTTTTTTATCCATTAAATTCCATTCCTTATATTAAATTTAATATCTCACTGGGGGATTGCAAAAATCTATTACTTAGAAAAAAATAAAACAAAGTACACATACAAACTGATAAAACCTAACCAGGTATACAGCCTATGCAAACACTTTCATTACCAAAAAACAAAAAAATTAAATTCCCAAGGGGCGAGATGATGGTCTGGGAAGATGGTCCTTCTCCTCCTCCCTACTCCTTTTCTCCTCCATAGACTAGATAAGATTATAGACCCTGGATGGCACAGTCCCAGGAGACAGTTACATTATGTATCCTTCTTCCTTGTTGCCTTTCTGCGCATGCCCTGATCGTGAGACAATCACGCTAGTTCAGCCTAGGCCACGTAGGTCACGTAGCACAAGTTACCCCGCCTTCTCTTCCTGTTTGTCTTACAGTATGAATAAAGAGTGCGCAGGACCCCAGGCAGTCATTAACCATTGGCCGTTAGCTCCCGACAGGCTATGGCTCCACCTGGTCCCAGCTTTAAACCATCATCTTGGTATGTATCCATCTTTCTTATTGTTTTTCAATTTTCTTCATCACCCACAGCTCTCCTCAGCTTTGGACCCTATGCTGTGTGGGTCGTGGCATTAAATACGTAGAATAAAAAAGGAATAAGTATTTGAATAGATATATAAAATGTAATAGTGCTATGTAATCAAGTGCTATTTCACTCAACTCTTAAAATACCATCCATAAATTTTAACTATTTTGATGTATTTTTTAGTATATTTCAGATGATTTGAAGTGAAGCCTCTAATACGGAGTTCCTAAGACAGCTAAAGTTGTAACATTGCACACCACTGTTAACTAGTCTAAATAAAGGACAACTAGGTATTCTCATCCTCATTTCTCTGGCTGGTAATGAGACTCCAGAATAGAAATGTTATCAACAGACCCTTCTAAGTCTTTCATGATGCTTTTTATGGGGTCTGTAGTTGATGAGTTAAGAGGAATAACATGGGCCTGCTCTCATCAAATTGTCTTAATTATTTTCTAATTAGGAATTATTCTTTAGACACAGAATTAGATGTTTCATGTCCCCAATCTCCCATCCTCTTGAAATCCTTTTGTAAGATGTTGGAGCCTGGAGTGTTAATCAGGCTTCATCAGCTTCACCCAGATTCTAGCCTGAAGCTCTTCTGGTTTTCTTCTTTTTGCCCTGGGTTTTCTGTGATGATTCTACACAGGACACCCTCAGGAAACCTCCTGAAACTAAAATTTGTGCAAACTACAAGTTGAGATGTGGATCAATTGGGAATGGCAAGCAATAGATAAATGCTTCTCTTTTCTAATCTTGCACAGATGGTTTTAACACAAATTTTATAAAGTTCCTTCAGAAACAAACTGCCGACTCAATAAGCATTCTTGTGTTGGCTTTCTTTCTTCCTAGTTGATTTCTCTGTCTTTCATCCCCATTCCCTTGGATCACATTCCCAAATTAATTCTCACTTGTTGCAGATTCTGCTTTTGACAAAATCCAGGATAAGACAGTCACTTCTGTTTCATGTGTAAACATAAAGTCTTACCCAAGAAGCATTTGATGAGTCAAATGCAAGATGCCTGGGAATAGCTTTGGAGAGAGCAAATCCTACATCCTAAGCCCTCAGGCACCAGAAACATCTCTTTCTTTGAAATGTAGAGCTAATTGGGTTATGAGAAAATCTTTCTATTATTTAAGTCTGAGTTCTTAATTTTGGCCCCTGACAGAGTTACAATAAACTGTCACTTAATGGTATTGATATTTCACAAATGAAGGTCTTATTGCAAGAGGAATCATTTGGGTCATATGCCTTGGTGGAATTTCACTGCCCCATGGTCCTTTTGTTTAATTTTCCTACTGTGTAAGAGAAATTATTAGAACTGTGACCAAACTGGACTCCCAAACTAAGGAAATGCTATGATTACCTCTTCTGTCAATATTTTATTAATTTTGATAGAAAAAGAAATATCTTAACTATTTAATAATATCATTACTATTTGGATGGTTTTATTTCCAAGCAATGTTTGGTGTCATCTTTTCCAGATTAATGAAGATTTAAATTGATAAAAATTTTTTATGTGAATATGCACCAAATAGAGCTCCTGATGTTACTCTTCAAAAGCAGTAATCTTCGGCTCCTCACTGACATGATCCTATCCTGATGTTTGGAGACTCCTTATCCTGCTGCATGTTGGTCCCAAAATTTAGCTCTGAAAAAATTTTGCCTTCTCGGTAGAAATACTGGATTTTCACTATCCAGAATTTCTATATTCAACCTTTAGTCAGTTCTGCTTCTTGGTTTGATCCTGACTCCCTTTTCTGGGCTTTCCTGTTGATCATGGTTGCTGCGGTTGAGTCCTCACCATAGTGGTGAGACTGTCTAGGTACTGGTTGCTTTTCTGATTGATTTGAGTTTTGTTTAGTGCCTGCCAGGTATTACCTGATAATAAGCTCTGTTCACATGCAAGACTGTTTTCTTCTTCTAGGCATTTTGAATAGTTAACACCTAAGTACCTGAACTTCCTTCCCTGTTCAACCTGTCTTCCTTTAGTTCATCACTAGTCTTTCTCTAGCAGCCTCTTCTGTCCTGTCCTGCCTTGTTGGAACAGCTTAACCTATGTGCATGGTCTCCAGATGGTCATTTGCGTTGCTGTCAAAATCCTTTAACCTGAAGCAAAAGAGAACGGCCCATTATTTAAATGTGTGAGACACAGGAGGCATATCTAATATTTCAATAATATTAAATATGCTTTTAATCTCATGTAATTTAAAACTGTACTGAAAGAGTACTTTTAAGATCTCACTCCAACTCTTTAATTTATGTTTTATGTAGATAGATATCTTTGGCTTTAGAAAATGTAGTCAGAACAAAAATGGATTTTTTGGGGGAGTGGGAGCTATTTTGCTTAATTATCAAAATATTTTATATATAATGATATATTATATATATATGGAGAGTTTTTCAGATTTAAAGATGGAAACTTTCTGAGACAGAGTTTTGCTAAGTTTCTAAATTTCCCATGCCTCCTGCCTCAGCCTCCCAGAATGCTGAGATTACAGGGATGCACTGCCACACCTGGCTAAAGAACTTTTTGAATCAAAAAATTATTTTGTTTTGATTTAAGTGTTAAAAAATATTGAACGATCCCCCCTCTCCATCTTGCTACTCTCATTTACAATATCTCAGACTTGCTTTTGCTTTCCTAAGAAAAAAATGCTTTCCTCCTTGCTCAAAATCCACTTATGAGGTTGGTTAAGGCAGCCTGTATTTGAATTAGGGGCCCCTGTCTTAATTTGGGTCAGTCATCCTGTAAATATGCTTTGTAGAACTCAGTGTTCTACATAAAGAGGAGGACTGGATGGACACAGAATCTACATGTGAATAGTGCTCCTGAGTTAAGGTCAGTCTTAAATATTATTTTTTAAATTGATGGATATAGTTGTATTTATAGTGTACAAGATGTTTTGAAATATGAGTGCCTTACGATTATTTTTAATGAAACCACTTTCTTGGCTTGTTTCTCCTTTATATTTTGTTCTTTGTCATCCACTCTTGGCAGATTGATCAATTGGATGCCATATTTGTGGGAGTGGAATTTTCTTTGTTCTTATTCTTGTTTAATATTGCATCATTCAATAAAAGGTAGTTATTTTTCTCTTGGCTTCATGTGTGGATCTTCCTCATCTCCAGTTTTCATGTGGCTGAGGAGAGCACAGCCATGGGGTGCCGAGGACAAGGTACCTGTGGCACTACTTGTAGAATCCTTTCTATCTTCTAGGATCCTTTATGTGCCTTGAAAACTGAGCCTACTTTGTGCTCCTATCAGGTATATTTTGTTGTTATTTTTTAACATTGGTATGGAAATGAGGCCAAATAAGCTGAAGCAGAAAAATTATGCCTTTTAATCAGAATTGCCTGAACTATAGTTGCCCTTACCTTCTGTTGTCCGAATGGTTAGCTGGTTCTCTATTATCCAGACATCAATTGCTCAGCCTGAAGTGATTTAGATTTAACATAGAGGTTGTATCTTTCTGTAATTAGGCCTTTGTGATCAATAATAGTGACTTTTTACATTTTCAGTATTGTGAGGGAGAAAATCCAGTTTTAAGGTTTGCCCTTTAAGAAGTTAGGAAATTAAAAATTAATCTGATTGAATACTGCATGTTATGGCTTGTGTTTAGATGGCACCCCCAAAGTCTCATGTGGATTAGGTGGGGCTTTGTTTTTCAGAGGTGGCTGAATCTGGAATGTGTGATGCTGGGATTAAGGGTTTGTGATTACCAAATCACTACACGTGAATGATTGGTTTGGCACCGCCCTAGTCCCTGTAGTCTGGATGGGATAAAAAGGAAAGAAGGATGCTGTTAAACTCTCTTGTTGCTTTTGCTGTCTTCCAGCTCCATAAATTGTTGCCCCTAGCTACCCTGCCTTGGAGCCAGCTGATTATAGACTGAAAGCTCTAAGCCAAATAAACCTTTTCCACTTTAACTTTGGGTGTCAGGAATTTTGTTTCAGCAATGAGAGAAAAGTAACTAATACACTGCAAGTCTGCAAAAAAGAAAATTCCAGATGTCATTCCAGCCAATGAATGACAGTTATTCCTTTTTTCTGGTCCTAACATACACAGTGAGTACTAGCCTTAATATTTGACATGTTGATAATACCTTGGTATAAAAAGTAAAAAATGTAGTCAACTATATATAAAGGGGGAGAAAAATAAAGCAACTGCTGATGAATGGATATTGTCAATTAAAAAAAATTTCCCTAAAGTCTATGTTTCATGAAACTTTTTCATTGGCAAATTATATATGAGGCAGCAAATTTTAATGTACTAATCTAACATTTGAATAATAACTTTTTCATATAGAACATTATATCATATTATGTAGTCATTCTGGTAAAGTGTTTAGTTTCAATTTAGATTAAAAAAAAAACTACCCTCTAATTCATTGCTAATTTTGGATTCATTTAAGAACTCCTGTGATTCCATTTTCTTATCCATTTCTTTGGTTACCATATTCACTCCAAAGACAAGACAACAGTTTTCCTACATTGAGAGATAAAACACATGTTACAAAGGAGACTGACTTCAGAATTATAAGAAAATGAGTCTGAATTTATCAATGACTCTTATGAGGGATATATTTTGTTAACTTTTGGCCTGTAACTTTTTTCTCACAATATTATTGCAACAATTGGAAGACAGTATACAGTAGGTCTTTTAAAAGGAGTTACATGCATTATCTCATTTAATTTTTAC